AATCAAATAATGAGATTGAAAGTGATAGACTCATTGCTTACCAAATAGCGAACCTTATATCAAAAGTAGACGGATACAGCTATATATATCATAAGCGTAATGAGTTGCAAGATGGTGTGTTCTTAACTTTTTATTGCAATTGCAAGCTTGAAAGGAAACAAAAAAGAGCTCGAGTTGAAGATATTGACAAACAAAGGAATACTGAACCTTTATTGCTTTGATATGAGTGTGAAGGCTCAATTCTTATCACTATTAAACGATCACATAGGTTAGTTTATATTCGTACGCATCATTTAATGCACCAACGACCTCGATCATTTGCTATAGCACCTGAAATTAAAGAATATATTCAGCAAAACAAGCTCTTTACGGTTCCTCAAACCTATCGCAATATAAAAGCCTTGCGCCTTAATGGATATCTTCATATTACACAACAACAGGTTTATTATTGGTGCAAACATTTGGGACTTAATGAGTATAAAATGGCTGAAGATCAAGTAGAGTCAGTAATTAGATATCTTTCGCAGCAAGTTTCTTTTAAATTGTTATCCAACACCCAAATATTATTGCAATTATAACCCCTTTATTGAATCTTCTTCCAAAGGAGCAAATAACTACAATCGTCGTCGATGCGACATATAAAATGAACCGTCTGAGGTATGAACTTTATGCCATTCTTGGTATCATCGATGGAACCGGGTTCCTTTAAGCTACTTATTCTTAAAACCTGAACAAGAACAAAAACGCACATCAGTACTTTCAAGCTGGTTCAATTTAATAAAAGAACGAGGAATCAATTATGTCCAGACCCTTTTAACGGACAAGAATTTTGCTCACATTGCTTCTGCCCGAAAGACTTGGCCCCAAATAAGAATCCAACTATGTTATTGGCACGTTCTGCATGCCGTAAAGAAAAAACTTACAAGTACCGGAATTATTTGCCCAATGTATTCTGCAAGCGAAGCGCACGCTATTTGTTCTGTAATCGATCCCACTTGGGAACTAGATTTGAATAACGATATGAGGGATAAGTTTACGGTTTTTTGCCGAAAAGATTTTCGGGATTACATTATTAAATTGATTAAATTTTATTTTTCTTTACACCCACTAATACCAACCTAAAACCGACCAAAATCAATTACTTCACATGACATTTGGAAAAGTTGTGTTAAAGAACAACACAACTATTGCAAAGTAAATAACCTACCTCATGTTTGGTCCTACTTATGGTTGGAGTGGTACCGGCCAGGGAGATGGCAGTTGTGGGCGCGCTCTGCAACAGGACATGTCAACATTTTACGTTCCACCATGACGATTGAGAGCCATTGGAGAGTAATAAAACACGACTTTCTCTCTGAGTACAATAATGCAAGATTGGATTTATTAGTCTATATCATTGTAATACGTCAACAGG